GCCGGATTTGTTCGAAAATGTATTTAATTATTTTATTTTTTTTATCATTTTTTTTTTTTTTATTATTTTTTTTTTTTTATTATTATTATCATATTTTTTTTTTTTTAATTATTATATTTAACATTTAATTTATACAATTTAATTTAAATATTTATTTTTTATCACTAGACTTGGTTCATCCTTCTAACATGATATGGCCTCAATCTCTTGTCTACGTTGCTATGTACAACTCATTGCATGGCAATATCGCTGAAACAAACAAAAAAATTCGATTTTTTTACATCGCATTTGCCTCAATGTTCATTTGGCAATTTATACCTTCTTATCTGTTTCTTTGGTTAAGCAGCATTGCTGTACTATGCCTTGTTTTTCCCAGTAATGATATTGCAAAACTGTTAGGAAGTGGTACAAGAGGTCTTGGAATAATGAATTTCTCTCTTGATTGGAACGCTATTGGTCTTGTTTCTCCCCTGATTACTCCATGGTAATGTATATTTATCATTTATTTTAACTATTAATATTTCTTATTTTTTATTTCGGGTTTTAAATTTTTTATAATTTAGGTGGTCACAAGTAAATTTTTACGTCGGTCTAATTGTTGCTATGTGGATTATTGCTCCAATAGCGTATTATAATAATGTCTTGTAAGAGTTTCTTTAGTATTTTCTTTAGTTTTCTTTATTATACTTTTAACTTGTTAGCATTTTTTTTTTTATTGTTATATTCATTCTTTTCTTTTATTCTTCTTTTTATTTAGCGATGGCAAAAACTTTCCCATTATGTCCCTTCATTCTTTCGATAAAGATGGAAACACGTGTGTATCTTTCAATTTTTTTAACCTATTTATTTATTTATTTATTTAATATTACATTTTTTAATTTTATAGTTATAATCAGACAAGTGTTATTGATCAATCAACTGGTGCTCTTAATATTACTGCTTATGCAAATTATAGTCCAGTGTATCTATCTGTTACATTTGCTATTTGTTATGGCTACTATTTCGCTCAATTTCCTGCAACTATTGTTCATGTGGCACTATTTCATGGAAAAGAAATTTGGACTCGTTACAAGAAAACTCGAAAAGAAGAGTTGAATGATATCCATTGCAGATTAATGAGTGTTTATCCAGGTTAAATTCAATTATTTTATTTAATTTTATTTTTAATTTTCTTTGTAAATTTCTTATTAAAAATGATATTTATATATTTTTTTTATATTATAATAGAAGTACCATATTTATGGTATGGTATTATATTTATTTCCATGTTAATAATCGCAATTATTCTTGGCTATACAAGTGGTGCGCATTTACCTTGGTGGGCTTTATTATTGGCTGTGGCTATTGCTGCAATCATGGTTATTCCAATAGGTATGGTCTTATAATATTTATAATATTTTATTTATTCAAATACTATATATTTAATATTATATTACTTACTTTATTAATAGGAATTATTCAAGCTATCTCAAACTGGGCAATAGGATTAAATGTTATAACTGAATTTGTGTGTGGTTATCTTTTACCTGGTTATCCACTTGCAAATGTATATTTTAAAACTTATGGATATATTTCTATGTCTCAATGTTTATTATTTGTTCAAGATTTAAAAATGGGTATGCTAATTTTTTTTTTTTTTTAAAAAAAAAAAGAAATTATTAACAATAGTTTTTGAAATTCTTCAAAAAGACCTTATTAAAAATTCTTTGATTATATTAAGGTCATTATATGAAAGTCCCTCCAAGAAGCATGTTCATAGCACAAATATGGGGTACAATTGTTGGTACAATTGTAAATTTTTGGTCAACGCAGTTTATAATTGATGCCAAAAGACATTACTTGGATGGTACAGAAGAGGATCCAACTGGCCAAGTAAGTATTATTATTATTTATTTTTTTTTATAATATAAAATTTTTGTTCTAATTTTTTGAATTTATTATTCTTTCACTTGTGTAGTGGGTTGGATACCAATCTGAAATATTCAACACTGCATCTATATTATGGGGATTAATTGGTCCTGCAAAAACTTTTGGGGTATGTTCATTTCAAATAAATAATAATTCTTTATTGTAAAATTCATAATTTACATTTAAATCTAATACATTCTCATAGGAAGAATCACTATACAATATACTCTTATGGGGTTTTTTAATTGGCATCTTTTTACCTATACCATTTTACCTGCTTCATCAAAAATATCCAAAAGCAGGATTTAATCTTGTTAATATTCCTGTAATATTATATGGTAGTAGTTTACTTCCTGGATATAATACAAATTTCATTATTTCTGGGTTCATAGTTAGCTTTATTTTTCAATTTTACGTTTTTCGTTATAAGAAAGGGTAAGTCTATAAATTTATTTGTTTTTATTTCTATTATAAATGTTATTATATAAATATTTATGTTTGAAAAAAATTATAAATTATTTTAAATATTATTTTATAGATGGTGGACACGGTAGGTTTAATATTCATCCTTTTCACCTTTCCATTTTATATTTTTTTTATCATTATTTGTTTATTAATATTTATTAATGTTTATTTATCGTTATACTGTAGATATAATTATGTAATGGCTGGTGCATTTGATAGCGCTGCACAAATAGTGACTATGTTTATTTTAATATGCCTTGGTACAGTTACGGCGGTAAGCTATTAATTTAATATTTAGATAACGATGGATATTAATTGCCTATAACTTATAATCCTTTATTTTTTTTCTTTAATTTTCAGCCCATTTGGTGGGGTACTGACCCGGCATCTCAGGGTGAACACTGTTATTCTAGTTAATCAATAGAATAATAATTTTTTACTAACGCGATGGGTAGCGCTTCACGCCACCATTTATTTAGTATTTTTTTTTGCACAACACGTATCGGTAAATAATTAATATCAAATAAGTGTAAAATATTTTTAAGAATAATAATTTAATAAATAATAGTTTTTTTTTTGTATGCTGATAATTATTTGTGATTTATGTCTACCGGTGTCTTTTTTTTTGAGTGACATTGTTAATTTCAAAGTGATACTAAGTTGATATTTTTATTCGTGTGATTTCATTTATCGTTATTATTCAATCGAACTTTGGTTTCTGTGACCTTGCCTAATGATTTTGCCTCATACATCTTTTGAATATGTTTTACTATGTCTTGTTAATTTTACTATTTGTGTTCATGATTTTAATCCCACTGATTAACATTAATAAATCGTCCTTATACAAACTATTCGTAGAAAATATGGTAATTATGTGTCAG